CGTTCATCAAGGCATCGTCACACGGTGAATTTCTCCAGACCCTACAGTCTGCAGAGATTCCCTCTCATGAGCAAGCATCCCTGGAAGTACTTGTCACCGAGCATAGCACATCAGCTGCGCTTGATCTAGATCATAACACAGCCGGCCACTCGACCAGCATTCGTCAGCGGACGCATCAACAGACCCCGGAAAGGCTGCGGATACGATACGCTCCACTTGTGAAGACACTTGAGAAGGTTTGCAGGGAAGTGCTTTCTAACAACTTACTCTGGCCCACCGAGCACGGCTTGACGGGGACCCGAACTCGAGGTGCTCCAACCATACTTTTGAGACCATGGAAACTCTTCGTCGCCTACGAGAAGAAAATCCGCGAGAGCATCCACTACATCGACGCCCTTATTGAGCCGGCCCGACCGGGGGACGTGATCGGCGGGGTAGCCGAGAAAGGGGTGGTAGAAGAATGTGAGTGTTTCCCTCCGTGATTGGTCATTGCGGACTTTCACGTACCGCATACTCTGAAAGATTCCGCTGCGTTGCCCGCACTGACCTTTTGCTTCGGCTTCAGTCGAATACAAGCGCGAGGACCTGCTGCGGGAAATGAAACTGCTCGTGGAGTTTCTTGACGTGGACCTCAAGCCAACTTTCGATCTGCGTAAAGCAATCAAGGAAGGAACGGCGACTGAGATCGAATACGGTGACCTTTGGCATCTGTTTGAGCTTGGAGATACGGTCATCAGCCCCAATGACAAGACCCAGGCCTATCGAGTGGTCAACTTCACCGGCGGAAGGGAGCCTTTAGTCCGGAATCTGCTGATGGAAGATGGACGTCAAGTTAGATCATCTCGGAGTGTGGGCGGGTTTGCGGTCGATTGCTGCAGCTTGTGTTTCAACGGGACAGACTACGTGCCAGTATTGAAGACGTTCTTGGTCCGCAAATACCATGGTCCCAGGCCTATTATGTCTCTGGAGGTTTTCCCGCTCAAGTTCGACCAAGATTGGGGAGCTCGCTGCCAGGAACTCGAGACACAGGGGCAGAGATACTTGAGCCTAACGCGTGTGCCGTTTTCTCACAACATGTTCCGGGGCAGGACAAGAGACGAACCACCTCAGCAGCTCGACGCTCAAGTCATCGTGGATGTTACCTTGGCTGTCAATCAGGAGCCCGATTGGCAGCTTGGCGACAGAGTCTCAGTCGAGGATTTCACCGAGATCGATGAACGCGAGACGCATATGCAGCCATTCTGTCACCACCACGCTTATCTCGAAGGTCATTGTGGGTCGGACTTTGCCTTCAAAGACTTGAATATGAACCACTCTTGGAGCAGCTCTTCAGACTTCAATGTCTCTGAGTTTCTTCGACCTCGGGGGGCTGAAGAAGACTTCAGGCCAGAGGATGTCATATTGCTCCCAAGATGGGTGCATGCTTTCGTGTTGCGCAGTCGCCAGTGGGTAACACTGAATACTGAAGACCTATCCGAAGTGCAATTCAGCAACAACTTTGACGAACTCATGTTCTCCCCGGGTCACAAGCAGACCATAGCGGCTCTTGTGGAAACCCACGAGAACGCGAGGACAAGCCCTACGCAAGGCCATCACTCAGTCGGCCCTGCACTGGACTTGGTGAAAGGCAAGGGGGCTGGCCTGACTATTCTGCTGCACGGCGAGCCAGGTGAGATACACGCCGCTCTTTATACTCTTTCACTCGCTATCTTTTCATTAAACATACGCTAATGAATTTTCAGGAGTTGGGAAGACATCGACGGCTGAGTGCGTAGCCGACAAAACCAAGAGGCCACTGTTTCCTATTACCTGTGGAGATATCGGAGAGTCAGCCATGGAGGTCGAGAAAAACCTTCATCATAATTTCCGCCTGGCCTACAAATGGGGCTGTGTCCTCCTGCTCGATGAAGCGGACGTCTTCCTTGCCAAACGGAACAAGACCGACCTGAGACGCAACGCTGTCACCAGTGTATTCCTACGCAGTCTGGAATATTATGCCGGCATCCTTTTTTTAACAACCAACCGCGTGGGCAGCATCGATCCAGCATTCAAATCACGGATCCAGTTGAGCCTGTATTATCCAAGGATCGATCTCGATACGACAGTGAAGTTATACGAGGTCTTTCTCAATCGAGCTCGCAATGAACAGAAAAGAACTGGATTCACACGGTTCAAGATCAAGGAGAGGGGGATCCTGAAGTTTGCCGCGAGCCACTACCGACATCTTCAGAAGGAGGGTTACAGTACCTGGAATGGAAGGTCAGTTGTATTTCTACCCTATTCTTATACTCTTCGCCTTCCCAGATTTCGGTTCTGACAACCTATAAGGCAAATAAGGAACGCCTGCCAGACGGCCATCGCGCTTGTGGAGCACGAGGCAGCCCATCTGGAAGACGGTCAGCCGATACCTGCGTTGGGAAGGAAGCACTTCGAGACTGTAGCCGAGGGGTCAAAAGAATTTGATCGTTACCTGAGGAGAACTCTCCAAGGTAGAGATGACGAGATTGCCTTTAGGGACCAATGGCGAAATGATTACCCGGAGGCCGATAACACGCGCCCTTCGTCGCTGAAACCAGTGCCTAAAGGGTCTTCTTCCCGCACTGCACCCCCGATGGTGACAGAGTCAGAGAGTGAAAGCAGCGACAGCTCAGAGACTGAGGATGAGGATGAAGAGGATGGTGACATGAAGTCTACGGGTGAAGGAAGTACCGCTCCGATGGACATTAGGGAGGAAGAGTACGGGGGTGAGATCACCAGTGCCGACATCAAGGAATTCCGGAAGTTCAAGGCTCTGATGGAGATGAGCAAAAAGAAATAGCGCGAGCACCTGGACGACGTCCGGGGGAGCAGACATTCGTTTCACCTCATATTTAGGTCAATTTAGACATGCTACCGCGCTTCAAGAATTCATTCAACAAGACATTATGCAAATATATGGGATCGAATTTTAAGGACAGTATTATTGTCCCAACCACATGTCAAGGTTGGATACAACTTTTGAAAATCTAGCTACTGCGGTGCTTTTACAATTTGGTTGCTAACCTTGTTCTCCAATATACCAATCAGCTCCTACCTTTGGCCGTCAAATGTTTTTTTTTGTACTCCGGGTACGGCCTTATGGAGACATGTTGTCGAAGAGAAGGATAGTCACTGCAAACATTTAATGGTCTGAGAGTCACTTAAGGTAAACGGAGAAAGAGTTTTTTGACAAGTATTCAACCCGGAATCTTGTATTTCAATAGGTTGGCTTGTGAAGACGGTGTGAATGACCCTTTAGTTCTGCTCACTGCTTCAAAGATCCTCCTTGTCCTTCAGATTAGGCACAAAAACTTCATCCCCAGACCACCACTCCTCGTCCATCGCTTTCTGCTTCTGAGCCCTCTCCTTGGCCTCCTTCTCGGCCTTCGTACGCTTCTTGCTCCTCTTTTTCTTCTCAGTGGTCTTCTCCCTATCGGAGCCGGCATCGGACGCCTTCCGATCACCTTTTCGGTAGTCAGTATGTTGATCGGAGACAGCTGGCTGGGACATCTCACCTGGGATGAACTCGGGGGCATGGGCGGCCTGAGGTGGCAGGGTGCCCGAAGCGATGCGCGGTTGGGGTGAGGCGTCGCTCAAGTCCTGGTTGGACATGACGTTGCTGGGAGAAGATCCCCCCGACGCCATTTTGTTTGTGCTGATGGGTGTTGAGAAACAGGTGATGTCCGTGTCAATCGCCAGATTATGGTGTTGCCGGTGGCTTGCAGTATTTGCAGGTTTCAAAAGCCCATGGTAAGGCCTGTGGTTTTTATCAGATTCTGTTCTGACCGTTTGCTTCAATGTTTGTCGGAAAAGTCAATCTCTTCCATGGGTGAATGGCAGCACCTACAAGTGCACATTGTGACTGGTAAATTTCATCTGATCTACAAGTAAGTCTCAGTCTGTGCCATGGTCTCAAAAGCTGAACAATAGACTATTGTTTGGCAGGCGAGATAACGCGCCTGTGTCCAAAGAGAAAAGCAGCTCAAAAGGTAATTGCAAGTCTTTGTGCCATGTTTCTCTGTACACATAATTGCCATGGGCAGATCTCGTTATATTGACAATTTGCATGTAATAACAGATTGTGCAAGGAATCCCCCCATCCTCTACTTGGCTTTGTTCCCAAATTTCTGGTCACTTTGTTCTGTCTCATATGCTTGTTGAGGTTTGACTGTCATCATCAGATGCTGGACATTGACACACACTATGATTAAGGGTTTCATTGCTCCTGTTCTCCATTGTATTAGTCTGATTCCGGAAAATAAACTGAAATTCGGCTAATAGTATATCTCAGACTTCTCGAAGCATTTGACATTTGAATAGTATTTCGGCAGATCAACGCGTTCAGAATGGAGTCAAATGTGCGGTCGCAATTTCAAATACTGTAAATATGGACTTTGCTGATGCACATACGCAAGATCTGAAAGACCGAATCCTGCAGATTGGTGACAAGCAGTTTTGAGGGAATTTTGCTCAGACTATTTATTGACTGAAAACCAGACTGACACCTGGCTGCAGCTAACCCCGTAATGCAAGCTACCCACCTAACTACACTCGCAAGGCTTGTATTTTCTCGATTTGACAGACTACTCTACGCTCATATGGGACATTTGGGCACTTTGCTCCCATTCTTTTCTGGGTTTCTTCCCGGTCTCTCCTAGAACCTAGCTTATCAGACCTGCGTCGCACCCGAGACCACATTCTTTTTCCATTTTTACACATCTGGAGCAGTTCCAAGCATATGTCTTGTTCTTGTGGTTGATATCCAGCAGGCTCAAAGGGCCTGTATCAAGACACACATCAAAGTGGGTGCCTGCCATAGCTGTCCATCACAAATTTAGGTTAGTTAGGGCATTGAAACACTTGTTCAGGCTCCCCGCCACAGCATAGCACATGCAAAATGATAGAATGCATGTAGACTTGACCAGACGTGCTTGAAACAGCTCCAGATGTGTAAAAATGGAAAAAGAATGTGGTCTCGGGTGCGACGCAGGCCCGGTTTGAACGGACGCCTCCGAAGAGAATAGATATCATGAATTAGAATTCAAGTCTATCGCATTAGACCACTCTGCCACTGCGCCGTGGAAGTGGCGGTGGCGGAGTGGACTATGTGCTCCACGCTTGTGCCGACGGTCCCGAGCCGATGGCTAAGTGGTCCGTGCGCCACTAGCTCCCGCGCCACGGTCCGATGCGGTCTAGCCTGCAGCAAAACGTGGGCGCTCTTCCACTCTCACACTTTTGCATGCGGCAAACATCCACATAGGCAGCTGCTGAACTCTACACTTGTTGCTTTGCCACGCTTTCTATCCCTCAGTCCGAGCAGTCAAGTCTTCGCTTACGTAGGGAGACATTGCTGAGAGAAGCCCGGATCGAAGCAGGCAAGCCAAAACGCAGGCAAAACAAAACTTTTCACAGCACAAAGCTGCACTGTAACAAAAACTCCAGGATTCGACTCGATAATACCACGGAGCCAAAACGCTGCTGCTCCAAGCGGCAACAACCCTCGCACTGAAGCTCTGCCCAAGAACAGACGACAAGATGAGCAATCAAGCCGGCAAGCCAGTGTCCGACAAGGGCGTCTCGGCGGCCTTCACCTCATTCTACCTTCAGCGGGCGACCAAGGAGTTCGCAGAGGACCTCGACAAGATCCGCAACGCCGATGACTTTAGGAGTGAAGCAATCCCCACCCTGGTCAGCGCCCTGTCCCAGGGCACCGCCACGTTCTCGCCTGCAGACCAGCGCAGGATCGTCACGGCGGAGGGTGGTTCGGTGAAGGAGAAATCTTGAGCGCCTTCGTGAGAAACGGCAGGGAACAGGCATCGCCAGGTGCCTCGGATTTGGTTAAGCCTCATTCGAGCGGCACAGAGGTGGACAGGATGCGAAGGGGGGCGAGCCCCTTGGCTGAGATGTGACGCACAGTTTTCATTCGGACTGGTCTGGTTCGAGACTCCGGGAGGCACATGCAGCCATACATTCTCAGAGCATTGCGGCGGAAGCCATGGCGCACAGAGTGCGATGGCGGTAGCAGAGGATTAGGAGTGGTTGAAGACGCCCACACAAATCTTATGGTGTCTGTCATTCTAGACCTGGCTCTTGTTCAATCTGGAACCAGATATTACACTCGATCACATGAGGCAGCAACCTGCAGCACAGAGATACTAGAGCTTTGGAAAGGCTTGGCCGGATCATCACCAAGGGCCATAGCTTCTCAACCTTCTCGGCTTAGCCCTACACTTAATTCGAGGACATTTGAGACCCGCTGCAAATTGACAGCGCAATGCAGACACCTGGAAAACTAGACTTCCATAGTCGCGCCTCAAATTAATTCTGCATCAGTGTATTTCGACGCGTGATCCATCAATCCCTGCAGTCTTCGCCGTCCAGAGTGTGGGAAGTCTGGCCCGTTTCCAGAATCTCGTCTCTGCTTTTCTTCTCATCCCAAGTTGTCTGGAGATTTTCCAATAAGGTGTCATCAAAGAATCCGGGTAAGCTTCGGTGGTTGACAACGCGTGTTTCCTTGAGATTGGCAGAACCGCTGGCTGCTTTCCTGTGCCGATGATGCTGCCCAAAACTATCCTATGCTGCTCTCTGCAGACTCGGCTCGATAGCAGTCAGAATGGCAGGTCGTTATCGATGTGACCCTGTCCTTCTTTGTGAATTAGCTGCCATTCGAAAGAGGACCAAAAAGAAATTGTAAAATAATTCCTTTCGGTAAAAGAAGCAAAAGAATACATCCGATCTCCGATACGGGGAATCGAACCCCGGGCGCCGCGGATCTCGATATGAAAACGCGGAATGTTGGCCACTACACCATATCGGATGTTATATTCGTGTGCGAAGCGGGTATTACATAGCTGACTGTGCCGGGACCCCACTCTTGACAGACACAAGCCACGTCGGGATGAGACCAGCCAGTGGAAGTCCGGAATGGTGATGTCAACCATGGCGGTCAGCTCTCCAAGTCTCATAGTTTTCGGTTTTCTGTGTCATGGCGACTTTTGTGCTGTCGGTGGCGCCGCACTTTTCTGTGAATCATCCAGGCGTGTGGCTTGCTCCAGCTCTGCAACTCACCACACCGGCATTGCAAACGAACGCCCTATGGCACACTGCCAGCGGTGAGCGTGTTTGCCATTGTCAAGTCATCGGAATGTTGACTTGGTCTGCCTGATGATGTAGGTCCAGCAAGGACGGACGTTTTGCGGTTGATCAGTGAGCCCAACGCTCATTTGTGTAGCCGTTTCCTCATGAGGTGGGAGGTTGGGTTTGCAAAGGCAAGCGCTTGAGTGACTACGGCCACGAGGAAATTTGGATGTCGAGTACGTGTAAGCTGAATTGTTCTCTTATGCTGGTCTGAGGTCTGAGGTCTGAGGTCTGAGAAGCGCGTTTGTGGTGTGTTGGTGCAAACAACCACATCAATTGCGACAGGGCGCTGGTCGCTTTGGCACACTGGCAAAGGTTAGCAAAGCCAACAAGAAGTTCACCATGATAACAAGACTAGAGGGATTAGGACCGATGCCCAGTAGTATTTCTGGATGTTGAGGCAAGTGCTTGCTTGGGGTTGCGAAAACAGACGAAAGAAGCAGCTGTTTGGCAGGTTGCATCGTGTGTGGCAGGAAGGTAGAATGCACCCAACTACAAGGTCCTGTAGCGGGGTAGCTATGCCAACAAGGGGCTGGGAGAAGCAGGCGCCAGGAATGGTATCAGTGGGATGGTCTATTGTAAATCCCGAAAGGGCTCGTTGACTGTGAATGAGCTTGGGAAGTTGCCAGGTGAATGTACACCAAAGCTTGCCTAAGCACAGCCCAGAGCACCCAGGGACCCAAACCACCAAGCACCTGCTGCAATTAACTTGGGGCAACATTCAATTTTTTGGGCTGGCAGCTACCAAGCCCATGCAATTGCGGCGGTTACACGGCGATAAGCATGCTCAACATCAATGTCCAAGAACAAAATCCCCGGGTCAAGGATGATCTGCTCATAATGGTCTCTTTTAGTCTTCCAAGCCCGCCTCTAATGCATTTACACAGTCAGTCAACGGCTTCTGATCCAGAAGCCATGAGAAGCGCTGCCCGAACCTTCGGCCTCTACCTCGCCTCCATTCCATCCCTACGCTGCCCAGACGTCCTGGCCCGATTTCTCGATCCAGTTGCCCAGCTGGTTGACACTGCTGTCCCACTCGGCCAGACGCGAACGCATGCTATCGATCTGCTTGAAGTCGAGAACCTTGGGCTGCACCCAGTTGATGTTTGCCACCTCATCCACCTGGTCCACCGTTCCCCGAAGCAGGCCCAGGCTCAGCGCCTTCATCACAAGGTGCTCGATCTCATGGGGCTTGACCTTCGTCTCCTGCTCGATCGTCGCGAAGCTCATCGCCCGCTCGTGCGGCGGCCGCCGGAAGACAGCCTCTGTGAGCGCCGACAGGTATATCTTCTCCCTCAGCTTCTCCTTGTGTTGGGCCAGAAGCTTGTCGGAGTTGACGCTTCCAGACAATTGGTCGTACTTGACCAGGTCGCCGGCGTTGAATGTGAACAGGAGCTCTCGCAACCACCGGTCCTTGTCGTTGTTCAGCGCGTCCAGGACGGGGTGCAGTAATAGCTCGCCAAAGTTGTAGATGCTTGTCGATACCAGCGCCGCGGTCGCAAGGTCGTATGCCCGTTTGCGACACTCGGCGGCATCCAGGCTCTTGATGTCAATGCATGCCAAGTACAGCAGTGCGTTCCGGTAGTAGGATGCGAAGTCTTGCTTCAGGTAGTAGAAGTCGGCGTTGATCTTGTAGAAGGCAGCATGGACGACGGTCTCGACCGAGTCAAACACATCCAGCTTCTTCTCGGCCTTGGCCAGGTCCTTTCGGGCGTCGTCGAGGTTGCCGAGGTCGAGCTTCACCTGTGCCACCGCCACCGTCGCGTACACGTATGCATTTCTTGAGTTTGGGTCCTCCTCCTCGTCGGCACTCTTGTTCTTCTTCTTCTCCTCTTCGGGGTCCACCTTCTTTGCGACTGCCTCCGTGAAGCTGAGGCGTTCTTGGAGATCTATCTGCTGTCAGCCATGTGTTCTCGTTGTAACTGCCCGGGCTCCTCTCAAAGCACTAACCAGAGCATTGTTGCGCCGCCTTGAGGGCCAAGTCGACAAGCTTAAGCTGGTTGATCTTGTCGGCGAACTGCAGGATGAAGTTGTTGTAGATGGGGAGGCGGGAGGAGGCGCTCTCGGGGTTGTTGAAGATGGTGATCAGGGTCTCGGTCAGCTCGTGCCAGAGCTTCTGCTCCCAAAGGTCTTGAAGCCGCAAGACATCAGCCTGGAGGTGTTCTGGCGACTGAAGCAGGATCTCCTGCAGGAACGCCTGCGTGTTCTCGTCGTTGTTCATAGTGTCGTTGGGACCGAACGGGAAACGCCAGACAGCAGCGGATGTTATCCTTGGGTGGGTATGCGCGGTCCGACCGATTGATTGTGGGTGGGGGCAGTTACTCTGCGTATGTCGTCTCGATTATCGCCGGGTCGCAATGGAGGGCTATTATGGAAAAGAAAGAAGACCCTTGGGGAGTCCGAGGTTGAGTGGCTGATGGATGTCGTGTTGGCAGGCAGTGGTAGCTTGGGTCGACGCGGCTGAAGTGCAGCCTGTGGTCGAGCTCCAATGTGGAAACAGCTCCATGACGCTCTAAAAACAAAACGACCTAACCCAACAAGGGAGCATTGCAGAGGGACGAGGGGGCCATGGGGGGTGAGAGGGGTGGCCCCCGGCCGCGAGCTTAGGTAAGGCCACCGGCCCTTTGGCTGGCCCAAGCGTCCTCTACGTTCGGCATTGTGCTTGGGAATTGGTAGCGTCTGGTTGGAGCTTGCCAATTACCAGTCCGAGGCGAAGCTTCATCGAATTCCCGACGACGGTCGACAGCCCATTGAAAACAACACCGGCCTTCTTGCGACCGCGGAATCAGCAAGGATGGCTTCCATACCGACCGCGTCGCGGTCCTTCCCCAAGATCGCCCGGAAAGCCATCCAACAACGATCGTTACAGGACGTCGCCATTACGCGCACGGGGAAGCCTATCCTTCGAGTTCAGGGTGGAAGGTAGCCATACACGCTCCCC